GAACATCCAATTATGGACAAGTATTAAATTCCCAGCAGTTAACAACATAAAATTGTACCGATTTTCAATTATTTATGCAAATTAGGTCTTTATTTACATAACCAATATCTGCCAATAATCTTGTCGCTCTCAATTACATATGTCATAAGTGTTTAATAGCCCTAATATTATGGAATACAGCAGATTTATAGAATTTACACAATATGAAATTATGAAAATTAGATCATGATTTGCATAATTGTGGTTTAATTGTGTCAAGCATGGCATAAGCTACCTTTATACCAAAAATTACGAAGACCCGTCTAATGGTTATTTAGTTACCCTTTCTCGGAGATTTTTCAGAGAAACCAGCCTGCAGTTGCAGAACAATCTCACGTGACTCCTTCCCTAGGACAAGAGTTTTCTACCATCTAAAATTCGCGACCTTAACATGTCCAGATCACGAGATGTCAAAACCGGAAGTTGCGCTGCAGTACCAAGGGAAGCTACTAGGGGCCCAAAATCTAATCATTTTCAGGCTTTTGTCAGACCCTACCGACACACTAAGTATGAAACCAATCCATCCAGCCGTTCTTGAGTTATTTTGTTGACTAACAGACAGACTGACAGACTGACAGACCGACAAAAGCAACTAAAAATATAACGAAAAACATCCTAGCGCAAATAAACTTACACAAACAAACCTGGGTGTACAAGTACATCACTGCGTCAACAAGTACGGTAACAACAAAATAGTCACAAGAGAAATTAACACAAATTCACAAATTTTACAATAAAGCATGTAAAGTATCCCTTCTTTTACCACAAACCAAAATGAAGGGACAAAAAATCTCAGAAGGCCAGAACTGCTTTGTTATACAAATCCTAGATGCAGAGGGCATGTATTGAAACATCATTTTTAACAGTACGTGGTTAACAAAGACTCATAAAACAAACATAACAAACATAATCACATCTACAGTTGAGTAAGTTAAATTCCATACAAGTGTCTTGTTCCAAAGGCCCGAGAGGAAAATGTTGTAAATGCCAT